TGGATTTTTGCGGGGATACCTACTCGCAAAAATACGGAGGCTCGATTTTTACGATAGAGCTATAGTTCCTTGGGCAAAGTTTCTTAAAACGACCCGTAGAACACCGCTAGGATAGGTAAAACATCGAAAAAAAATTTGACCCGCCCTAATACAAGCATTTAACAAAGTTACAAAAAAATTATGAATGTAGAGCAACAAGGTGACTGACTATTTTGGTAAGTTCCTGATGTCTGGAGGAGTAATATCTAATGGTCGCGTGATGTCATCTCCATATTTCGAAACATTAGTCCTTGTGAATCCTCCACTAAACATGTAAAACCACTTATTTTTCACACCGGCACCCCAATCATACCGCTGGTGCTTATGTTCATTTGCAGTCGTGGAAACTTTTGCTTTATTCATGCATATCCATTCTTCGTCTGTTGTTTTTACCCATTGGTTACCGTACAGTGCACCGAACGCATCATTGCCATTCTCAGCAAAATTCTCAACGAACGAGTATAAGCCGGATAGTAGTTTTGCGCAGGTTTTAGGCTTGTGCCATTTTGCCACCATTTGCCACTCATTATTTTCAGGAGTGAGATAGTAGCCGATGAAAATCGTTGAATCTGTTCCGCTTGCTTCGGCATGTATGAGTAGTTTGTACACTGTTTCTGTCTTCCATTTAAGGTTAATAAAGCTTTGCCCACCACACCCTTCACAACCGAAGGATTGAGCCGTTACGCCTTGTCCCTTTTGGAGCAATGTAATCCGGTCTTCAGTGGGTACTTCTCGCGGATCATCTGTCTCATAATTGCTCCATATTGAAAACAATATTCTTCTTTCTGTTGGTGAATTTATCTGAATCCCGAAATATCCGTCCTTAAAGCCGTTAGTCATGTAATAGGCGTGCATGCTCGCAGATTCTTCCGGCACTTTGATTTCGGTATAGAACCATCCAATTTGTGTATCACAAGGTTCATTGTACCAAAGATGCACTGAAACTGCGCCTCGATATTCACTCTTGTTATATTTGAGTCCGTTTGCAGCTTCCCCGGATAATGAGAAATAAGCGACATTTGGGAAATAGCTACCGGTTCTGTTGACACCTTGGAGGGTTATGTGATTATAGCCCGTCGTCGAAATTCTGAATATACCTATGTGTACCCCTTTATAATCTTTTGATTTCGCAATAAAAACCGCAATAGTTTTATCTTCCACTGTTACATTAATAACACAATTAGATTCGGGTGACTGGGCATTGATCTTTATGTGTAGTTCGCCAATTGATGAAAATAATGCGAACGTTTTGATTCTCGATTCTTTTGACATCCAGTTATAAAGACCTTTGTCAGATGTAATCGACCCAGTGCCATTTTCATCAGGGTGAGGGTATACATAGCCGTTGCTGCCAAGTGTTAAAATTATTCGTTTATCGAGCGATTGAATAACGTTCGTTTCTTGAGAAAAAGTCATTTGTTTAAATCAATTTGTACTAATTAAATACATAGTTTATTTCTTACCATCAAATAAAACAGGTAGCGAAGGCATCTGATTCATCATGTGCTCTCGTGGATTACTTGTGCAACAAAGAAAGAAAAAGACTGCCGTTTTGCGATTCTACTCCTCACGCTTGAGGCAGAAAGAAAAGAAGAAAAGTGTAATGTATTTTCTTCTGACTTAGTTTTTTCCTGTCTATTCTTACCCACGTTGACTAATATACACCGAAAAATGATTGTGTAATACAATAACAGTTCGAAATACATGAAAATCTTTCTCTACGTGTAATATACATAAATAAATGAAAGAACGAAGTACGGTACCATATGATGGATAAGTGAGTAAGGTAGCGCTAATTCAAGCTTTCCATAAGTTGAGTTTTGTGTTGAGACATACATCACCAGATGCAGAAGAAGTCGGTGATTACGAATATCACCTGGTGTTTTAGTTTAGACCAAGTCTTCAAGCAGAAAAATGCAAAATACTTATATGCTGTTTTTAGCGAGTTCTCAGAAGCTAACCTGCACCAGTTTTAAATGTTTAACAATTCTTTTCGGCTCTTGGACAACTTTAGCGAACGGTGCAAAATGCGTTCCCACCGATCGTAAAAATAGAAACAATTCTTGGTAAAACGTAGTAATAAAGCTTTTTTAGCATATAAGCAGATGAATAAGTTTTAGTTTTTACTCATAAAAATTGATCAATAAAAACTGAAATCATGGAAGCTTATGTTGTCTCACACAGCATAATCATACTTCATGTTTCTATTTCCCTTCACTGACAATTGAGCATAGTAGGTTGTGCTGCTAAACAGTATTGTGATATGAAATTAAAGTAAAGGTGAAGTCTGCATAAGATGTGAAATCGATCCACTAACTTTACCCGCTCCAATCGGTACAAAACTCATCAGAATCACATTCGATCATCATATTTGATGATTTCGACCGTCCCGAGCGCTTTCAGAGGATACCCGACAGAATCTACTCGAAACCAAGCAACCATTTAGCACCAACAGTATGACCGTAAAATCAAAATTTCTCCATAACTATCCAATATTAAGCGTGCAATACATCGCTCGATGCGCCGTGTAAAGGTCTAATATGTTCTAATAGGAAACTTAACAAAGCCTGGCAGCTCGCGGCTATGCCAAGAGAATTTTTGGTCACTTTTTTTCTATGAAATCAAAGAGTATCGCTAATCATTCGTACATCACTCGATGCGAAAGTTCTACAATATTTGTTAATAAAAAACTCAACGAAGCTTGGCAGCAGTTTGGGGGGATTAAATACAGCGTCGCTTAAACCTAGAATGAGTCAGAACATCGTTCGCCAGCTTAATTTTTCATTTTATTCATCGACCATAGTAGGTGGAACAAATTTGAAAAAAGATTTGAGTACCTGAAAACATGTCAGATGGAAGGTACCGTATAAAAAGGTTCTATCAAAACTCTCGAAACTAGTATCTCTAGAATCAAGTCTCACACTTCAATCTGGAAATTCTTTACGAAAACGTCCGTTTTTTTTAATAAAAGTTTTTTACGTTAATTAATTTATTGAATCAGTGATACTGTCGCTAGATTGAAAACTTTAAGAAGTATCATTGTTAAAGTTTTCAAGGTGATTTCTTATTGTATGATGAAGTACAAGAGCTCACTCTATGATAGGTTCGACAACTGTGTCTTCGTTTAGTACACTTATCCTGGAAACTGTGTTGCTTCATCAACAAAACCAGCGACTGATAATAACGAAATGCTTGAAAACTATGTATTACTTTGCTATTAAATTTCACTCTGCGTTCATTTCATTCTGCTAATAGATGCTGCGTTTAGTATATATTGAACAACGACTGAAAAAATAGAAAAATGCTTTGGTCTTTGAATCATAATGACCTTCTTACCTGATGCAATTTTATTCCTAGATTATGAATATAATATTAGTTTTAATTTTAAGCTGATAAATAAAGGAAAAAAGTGTTTTTGTTATTTAGTGCATAGTAAAAAAACGTATTTCAAAAATAAACATGACGTACTGTGTGTTGCGCTTATTTCTTCTCTTAAAATGCCTCTAATCTAAAGCTCATAATCAGAGGGTAGTTATTTTATGTCCAGCGAAGCTTTTATGGCTCATCTCAGTTTTAACAGGTACCGGAAGTTCTAACATATGGTTTTAGAACCATTCAAAGTTTCTTTAAAGACAGGACAGTTTAAACAGTAATTCCTGCTATTTTTTAGAGAAAAGTATGTTGAATATAACGATGGAAACTAGTTTTACAAATATCTTTCAGTACAATAATTATAGTCGTTCCACTACAGCTGTTCCAAGGAAATAATCTGAATGAGAAAAGTCGTGTGCAATAAATCAACAAAACAAAGCCAGTTGCAACAAATCTATGACAAATGCAATGTAAGATCTATACCATATAGTCAATTTTTTATGCTCTATGGGCTCGTTATGTTTAGAAGAGAAAAAAGAAACTGAGTAGTGGAATATAGTCCTAACATCACCACGACAAGCTTTTCATCAAAAACAATCCAACCCATTGTGGCTGATTTTGTGACTTACCTGCTTCTGTCCTTTAAGAAAACGATACTAACTTTCATTTACATTAAGAGTAGCATTAAAATTTCGTCAGAAAGAGTTTCGTCATACAAAAGAATGACCGATCAGTTCCTCAGACTGGAGAGATGATTATTCAATTCATCGTTTGCCTTCAACAAGTCTATATTTGGTATTTGTAATATCAAGCAGAGATGTAACCGGTAACGGCAACCGGCCGGCCGAAAGAAAATTTATTTGACCGGTCGGTCAAGAAAAAAATGTTTTTTTGTCTGAAAAATCAGTACTTTGTCGAAAACGAATTTGCTAAGCTAAGTAAAACCAAGCTTTTCATTTTTCAAATTAAGAAAGTTAGTTTGGTTTTCTTTTTTCTATCAACAGTCTTTGAGTGCAGGAGTGGTAATATTTACTATGAGAATATTCCGTCCATTTTTCTTTCTTGTTTAATGTTTATTGCTCTCTATTATCGGCGCTAAAATACACGGCCGGTGATTATTTTTTAAATAACTCAAGAGGAATAAGAGATAGAGACTAGAGGTCTGCGGGACCAAACGTTTTTGGTCCCGGTCCCGTAAATATTTTTTCAAAGTAGCGCCCGTAGTTTGAAAATCAGCGCGTTGTAAATTACAAAGATTTATGCAACACTACTGCAGACACAAGTTCAGAAACATTAACAAAAAAACAAAAATATGAAGAGCAGGATGATGATAATAACAAGCAAAAAGATAATGATAGTGGTAACGATGAAATGGCAACAACTGCAACACTTGATGATGACTTTTTTTGATAGATAAAAATGAATAGTATTCAACTATGAACTTTCAACAGTAGACATTTTTCCTTTTCTCTTGTTTAAGCTAGAAGAAACTTATAGCTTTACCTGTGTTTACAAAAATTTGAACTTTGAACAAACTGTGTCAGCGCAACACTAATTCAAGCTAATCTGGAAAATATCACTATGGGATGAGATTATTAACTGAGGACTTTTCGAATTATGTGTGAATTTTTGCGCAGAACTACTACCTACATACAAACAGGCACAGAACTAAGAAATTTTTATACTTCATACAAGACTATTTTCAAAAAACCTGGTCCTGGTCCTGTTAAAAGTTCCACGGGACTGGGACAATCCCGCAGCACTGGGACCGTCCCGCAGACCACTAGGTCCCGGTCCCGTAAAAAAGTTTTTTCTGGGTTCCGGTACCGTAAAAAGTTCCGCGGGACCGGGACTGGGACTGCCACGCAGACCTCGAATAGAGACTTGCGGTTTTCGTCATTCACTAGCCAAGGTCTGAGGCTATGTTTTCATAAGCAAAAACGAGTTCGAAAAAATTTCAAAGAGCGTTTTTTCAGGAGATCTGTGGAAAACCAGTTCGGTTCTCTGAAAGCTGACATCGAAAGATATGGATTTGTTCCATACATATATAGTCCAAAGTGTCCTCTACAAAACTGGATCTAAGAGACATCTTGGCAATCCATGGTTTGGGAGCTATGGATATTTTTCCAGAAGCCTTAGCACTCCTCTGTCGTTAGGCTTTTACACTTACACACTAGGAAAATATATGACCGATCAATTTGCGGGCCCGGCTCGGTCAGAAATTTTTCGCTCGGTTATCGGCCCGGTCGAGAAAATCTTGACCATTTACATCTATGGTATCGAGATTATGTTCATTTCTTTCGAATACGACAGTGCGTTACAAGCACGTCAATAAGATTGACGCTGTTCTTCCATAGACGTAGCGTTGATGAATTTTTGAAGACATTGAACTTTCGTTTGTTTTGAAACCGCTGTTGACTAAGGATCTTGGATAACTGCAGATTTTCTATTTTTTTGCGATTGTTTCT